TTTTTTTTGGTTTTTCTCCAGTACCGGGAACCGAACTCACGACCTTGCACTTGCCAGGCAGGCACTTTTGCCGCTGAGCTAAATCCCCAGCCCCTCCTCTGGTACATTTTTGTATAATCTCCTCCTGCTGAGTGTAGGTGGGTTTTACAATTTCCTTGTAATCAAGAGAGTAGGACAAAAGTGATGAATGTCACTCCTTTGGTTATGTTATGTGGCAACAACAAAGACTTTTACAGATGACATTAAGGTCCCTAATCATTAGACTCTGAATTAATCAGATAGGAGACAATCCTGGGCATGGCCTGACCCAATCAGGTGAGCCCTTAAAAGCGGGTGTAGGGATCAGAAAATCAGCGCAGCAAGTTCAGTCTTTCTGTTGCTAGCTTTTACTTCCCCCTTGGAGACAGGATCTCAGTCTGCTGCCCAGACTGGCCCCCAGCCGCCTGCTTCAGGCAGTCGCTGGGATTAAAGGCATGCCCTGTCGTGCCCAGCTTCTGTTACTGGCTTTGATGAAATAAGCAGCCCAGAATTCCACAGCCACACAGAAATACGTTTTGCCAACAGTCTGAGGGAGATTAGAAAGAAATCCTTTATTGTTTGAGCCTCAAGATTAGAATGTGGGACTAGGGTGTAGCTCTAGGCACACCGCAGATAGAATTCACACCCCCTATTCACCAGGTTCCACTTGTTCACCTGGGGCCAGCCTAGGTCTACCCGTGTCTTGGGCTTCTTTGTTTTTGTTTTTCAGCGCTGGGGCTGGAACCCAGGGCCTTCGCTACCAGTGTCAGGGCAATTGCACAAAGCCCTGGATCTGATCCAGCACTGCAGAGGAAAGGGGAGAGAAAAAAAGATGAGATTGTAGCCTGCTCAATGTATAATTTTACCCTTATGGTATCCTTAGCAGAGAATCTGACTAAACCATGCCCACATTTCCAGCCTATAGAGACCATGAATAAATTACTGTTTTGTTTGCAGTGCTGAGGATCAAATCCAAGGCCTCCCACATGCTAGGCAAATCTTCCACCACTGAGCCACATCCCCAGCCCAGTGTGTTATTTTAAGCCACCAAGTTGGTGGCATCCACAGAAAACTATTACAGTCTGTAAACTATTGTTTTTCTTTGCCTAAGAATGCTTCATTAAATAAGGATAATTTAATTTTTCCTCCCTTGAGGGTAATTTGGATTTTGTTTTCACTGAAAGATATTTTCAAATCAAGCTCCTATAAATAATCTCTGTCTTAATGAACATGGATTTTGTTGTATAGGCTGTACATATGTTTGCATTCGTTGGAAAATGTCAAGAGCTTTTTCGAATTATATTCCAAGAGGCTAGGAGTGTAGCTCAGTGGTAAAGCACATGCTTAGCATGTGTGAGACCCTAAATTCAATGCCCTGCACACACATAAGCACATACACATAAGCAAGCAAGCATGTGCACACACACACACACACACACACACACACACCACGCGAGGGGGGAAAAAAACCGCACAAGGTCAGCAAGAAACAAAATGAAAGGAGAGAAGAGACCTCCCACTGGAAGAGAATTTAGGGAGTCGGGTGTGGTGGCACACACCTGTAATCCCAGCACTCGGGCAGCCTGAGGCAGACTGCAGGTTTGAGCCCAGCCTGGGCAATTTAATAACTTAATGAAGTCCTGTCTCAAAACAAAAATTAAAACAGTTTGTGAATGGAATCCCCAGTAACACACACACACACACACACACACACACGCAAAGGGGAGATGTCGCTGTGGCGGTCACATTACATGACTGGTAGCAAGGCACACCGCAGATAGAATTCACACCCCCTATTCACCAGGTTCCGCTTGTTCACCTGGGGCCAGCCTAGGTCTACCCGTGTCTTGGGGCTTCTTTGTTTTTGTTTTTCAGCGCTGGGGCTGGAACCCAGGGCCTTCGCTACCTAGGCGAGTGTTCTACCACTGAGCCACACCCCCTCCAGGGTTTCTATCGGTCAGTCCTGGTGGTCGAGTGAGTCTGTCTGCTCGTGCACTGGTCTGGCCTGTCCTCAGAGCTGTGGACTTAGCCTTGTGTTTTACGGTTTGATTCTGGACCAGTTTACATGTTTGACTGGTATATTCATCAGGAACTAGGTGACAGGCAGGCACATGGAAAAGCTTTTATTTTTATTTAACCTGTGATCAATTCTTTTAGTCAAATATTTTACATCCTCTTTTTCTTTTAACCAAGTCTTCCAAATCTAGTATTCTGAGATTATTTTACATTTATAACATGCCTCGATCTGGACTGGCCACATTTCAAGTGCCTCACAGCCACGTGTGACTTGTAGTCAATATGGATGTATCTTTTGGCTGTTGGGCATTCTGGACATTGTCTTCACCTTAGGTGTGATTTTATGGCAAGGTGACATCACTGCTGGTGAGAAAAGCTTTCCTAAGTATCAGCTGGTGAGCTCCTCACCATTCCCCGCAGCCCTGCGGTCCTTCGCGCCAGCTACATGGCGCCCTCGCCCCGCCCCCTCCCCGTGGCGCCGCCCCTCCCCGTGGCCCCGCCCCCCGCTGTGGTGTCACTCATGGCTGTCTTAAGGCTATTCTCGGCCAGTTTCTCTCCGGCCCCAGCGGTTAACCAGTTCCTAGGTTTTGTTCACCAAAAACACCCCGAATTTGACCGTCCCCCCGGGACTGAACCGCGGAGTGCTCCCCGTAACCCGGCCGAGACCGGAAGTGACGTCGCGACGTCTCTGGCCGCTTCCGCCGCGGGCTACGCGGGTCAAAGGGCAGCTTCTCTGGGCTGGGTAGGTGGGTTCTTTCTTTGAGATGCTTGCGTGAAGCCACGGGCTCGGGTGTGGCTGGGAGGCGACAAAAAACAGGTCTGACCGCTGGAGCCGCGGGCCCCTCAGGCTGGACCGGGTCAGAGGGGCCACTAGAGGCCTCGAGAAGCTGGGATGGCAGTGTCGCTGCGCTTTCTGTGTCACCCCCGCCCGGGCCCCTGGGCTCGCCTCCTGCAAAGCCTCCCAGAGCATCGGGTGCAGCGGCTCGTAGAGCGTTTACCTAGCATGCATGAGACCGTGGGTTCCACCCAGCAATGCCAAAAAAAAAAAAAAAAGAAGAAGAAAAAAAAAATCCCTCCTGAGAACCTTTCTGAATTTTTTTTCAGAGAGGACACAAATTTTCCCGAGTCTAATCACGTTGAATCTGGCGTGCGTCCCCCAACCTCAAGGAGCTGACAATTCCAGCCCATTCTGGTGAGCACTGGGTGAGAGGCGGCTGGAGAGGGTCCCTCCTAACTGTTCTCATGCAAACAATTTCACTTTGTCTTTGCAAGTCCTATATTTATGTCTGCGCATGATGGTAATGTAAGAAGGTGAAGATCACTTGCCAGGTGCTGGGGTGGGAGTGTTTTCCTGTGTGCATACTATAATAAACAGTCGTAGACCTCAAGTGTTTCTACTAAAAAAAACTAAACAGCCGGCGTGGTGGCACACGCCTGTAATCCCAGCACTCGGGAGGTTAAGGCAGGAGGATCGTTGTAAGTTCGAGACCAGCCTGGGCTACAAAGTGAGCTCAAGGCCAGCCTGAACTGCATAGTGAGACCCTGTCTCAAAATGACAAAGAAAAAAAGAAAAAAAAAACAAAACTAAATAATACTCAACTGTTTCTTTTATCTGCGGTTCCTAGGCCTATACACGCCACCCCTCCAGTTCAAAACGGGTGCCTCATGCCAGGCGTGGTGGCTGCATATCTGTACTCCCAGTACTGAGAAGGCTGAGGCAGGAAGATCACCGCAAGCCAGAGGTTGGCCTAAACTACATAGAGAGACCCTGTCTCCAAAACAAATTTGGAACCTCCAGAAAGAGAGAACAAGCTAGCAGAGGCTTTATTAGACTTTTGTACTCCGTTTAGTGTGCGTACTGGGCAAGTGCCCAACCACTGATCTATATCCTTACCCCACAACTCTGTGAATAATGGAATTCACTACTAACAGAATTGTCGGATTGTTTTTCCTCGCACATTTTTCTTTTGAAAATTCTGTAACCTACAGGTAACTTGAACACCTGTAACAATGAATACCCATCTAGTAGATTTGTTTATGTTTGGCATTTTATGTATTTTTGTTTCCCCCACGAACAAATACATTTTAGAGTGAACTGTTAGAACACTGAAAATAAATTGCAGACGTGACGTTCCACTGTTAAATACTTGGTATTGCTTTTTTGTTTGTTTTTTGGGGGTGGGGTCTCACTGTAAAGTTCAGGGTGACCTCAAACTCACTAGGTAGGCCAGGCTGGCCTCAAACTCGCAGCGATCCTGCTTCAGTGTCCCGAGTGCTGGGACTACAGGTAGGGGCCACCATGCCTGCCTTGCATTTCTTAAAGATAAGGACCTGGCTGGGGGTTGTAGCTCATGGTACAGCACCTGCTTAGCGTGTATGAGGCCCTAGGTTCAATCTTCTGTGTCTTACCTCCACCACCACCTCCCAACAAAAGAAAAAGGGAAAGGACATTGTCCTGCTAAAACCAGAGTACTATTATTTGAACCCAGAATATTTTAAATAGTGATGTGAAGTAAAATCTACTTTGTGTAGAAAACTAAAATTTTCCATGTTATTTCAAAGGGGGATTTGGATGTTTTCATTCTAAAAATCATCGAAATGGGTGTGTGTGGTTTTTTTTTTTTTTTTTTTTTGTGGTTATGGTGACTGAACCCAAAGCCTTACATTGAGTTCCATTCTTGGCCCATTTAAAAAAAATTTATTTATTTGTTTATTTTGCTGTTTTAAAACAGGGTCTTGATATGTATTCCAGGCTAGTCTTTTTTTTTTTTTCTTTTTTTATCTTTTTGAGACAGGGTCTCACTATGCAGTTCAGGCTGGCCTTGAGCTCACTTTGTAGCCCAGGCTGGTCTCGAACTTGCAGTGATCCTCCTGCCTCAGCCTCCCAAGTGCTGGGATTACAGGCGTGTGCCACCACGCCTGACTATCCAGGCTAGTCTTGAACTCACTTGTACCCTAGGCTGTCCAGGAACTCCTGGTGATGCTTCTGCCTCAGCCTCAGAGTACTAAGATTACAGTCATATGCCACCATGCTTAGTGATTTTTAAATTTTTTTGCAAGAAGAGAGAATCATATACTTTATCAAACCAGCTACCCTGAGAAGGTGATGGGAAAGTCGCTGATGAAAGAGTGCCATTTGTTGCTGTGCATCTTAGTGCCATTGGTGCATATTGACGCCAGTGATGCAGTAAGTACCTCCCGAAGTCAGGGCTTACAAATTCGAAGGCCCATTCATTGTTTCACAGATATGTTCACTGATGAAGATAAAAAAGACATGCTGAAAATACACTCCTAAAAGTAGAAGTCAGAAATTATCCTCCTGGTCTTACCGATGACTGCTTATTATCTCTATATTTAGTAAACATTACCATCAACTGTGAGTGACAGAAAACCAACTAACAGTGGGTGAAACAGATTTTTTCGAATATGCCAAAGGAGTATAAAGACTAGATGCAAGTTGTGTTGGTTCTGCCATTCCATAAAGCCATCAAGGACCCAGGGTCTTTCTCTTTTTCTTCCACCATCTCTAACCTTAGCATGTTCACCTTTCATTTTTATAATTGTTGTCACTGAGTAGGCCACAAAATGGCTGCAGAAGCTCCAACCCTCTCATCCTGAGACTGACTGTAAGTGCAGAAGTCTGGTAGATGACCATTTTTAATGATCCAGGGCACTTCATATTAGTGCACCACCACCACAGGGAAGAGCAGTTTCCACCCAGTATCGGCTGCTTCAAAGAAGAAACAGCATGGCAGAGGGCCACAGTGGGGAAAAGCCACTCCCTTCATGGCAGCTACGGAGCAGAGCAAAAATTTTATTTTGAGACAAGGTCTGACTAAATTGCCCAGGCTGGACTTGAACGTGGAGTCTTCTCTTCAGCTTCCAGAGCAGCTTGATTACAGACTAATGTGACCGTGTAGCCTACATTGACTTTTTCCCCCCTTGGTACTGGGGGTGGGCCCTATGGCCTTCTTACTAAGGTACATGCCTAGCCCTTTGAAAAATTTTGAGACAAGGTCTTGCTAATGTACCAAGTACCCAGGCCGGACTGGAACTTGTAAACCTTCTGCTTCAGCCTCCCAGAGTGCTGGGATCCCAGGTATGTGCCACCACAGCCAGCTACACTGACTTTTTTGAAGTGCTACATATTCTTCTAGGATATCACACATTATAATAATATTTCTGGTTGGGTAATTATCCCACCACTACTACCTTTTTGTGATATGGAGGACTGAACCTAGGGAAAGCTAACCTACATGCCCAGCCCTTTTTATTTATTTATTTTATTTTGAGACAGCATCTCACTATGTTGCCCAGGCTGCCCTTAAACTTAAAATCCTCCTGCCTCAGCCTTGTGAGTAGCTGAGAATTCTAGCATGTGCTACTGCACCTCTCATCTTATTTTTAAACTGTTTCCTCCAGCCTTATATTTTTATTTATAAATACAAACATTTGAGCTGTAGTTTGCCACTTCCTAGTCTAGAAGCTTCAGAAAATCATTTTAAAAGTATATTTTTAGATTTTTTTTGTTGCCAGTTTCTGAATCAACACTTTGTCAACGTGCTTACGAATTATTCTGGGGAAAGACAAGAAATGGATATTAGTTTGAATTGCAAGATATTTGTTTCCAAAAATGTAGTGGTGCACGCCTGTAATCCTAGTGCTTGGGAGGCTGAGGTAGGAGGATCACTGTGAGTTTAAGGCCAGGCCAGGCTACATAGTGTGAGTTCAAAGCCAGTCCAAACTACCTATCAAGAACCAGCCCCCCACAAAAAAGATAAATGTTTCCAAAAAGAGCATCAGTACTCAATCCATTTTTATCCTGAATGAAAATACTCAAATATATTTTCAGAAATACAGTGTTTGAATTTATGTTATATTATGGGCAAGCATGTATATGAGTGTTAAGTTTTGTGATTCCTGCATGCCTTCTATTTGTGTATAGCTCTTACATTTCTATGGTAAGGCAATCATTTTGTGATCATCAGACAATCGAACAATGACCATTTAATTCCTTTAACACATTCATGACGGGGCCAAAATGTATATGTCTTGCTCCTAGGCAGCTCTAAAACACCAGTGATACATGCATAACTGTCCCTTGGGCGGGGGGCATGGGACAGTTTCATTGGGTGGTAAAAGCTGCCTGAGGGGACAGTCATGTCTTTACCACTGGAGCGGTTCAAGCCAGTTCAAGCTGGCAGGAACATGTTAATGAACTAGGCTCTCTGCCAGAAACAGGAAAATAGTAACCATCAAAACAGACACAGTACTGCCACCATGAGGCTGACAGTCTTATTAGGGAAGATTATTTGATTTTATTTGATTGATTGATTTTTTTTTTTTTTTAGGATTTTGGTTTTGTTATTTATTTATTTATTTATTTATTTAGGTGGCAGGAACCGAACTCAGGACCTCATGCTTGCCAGGCAGGTGCTGTGCCACTGAGTTAAATCCCCGGCCCTTGTTTTGGTTTTTTGAAACAGGGTCTCATGTAATTTAGGCTGACCATGAGTTCACTGTAGCCCAGGCTGGCCTCAGAGTCGTGGCAATCCTGCTGCCTCAGCCTCCTGAGTGCTGGGACTACAGGCTTCTGCCACCACACCTGGTGGGGAGGATGATTTTAAATGAATAGTAGCAAATTTGTTATTCAGACATAAGAATTATTAAGAAACACAGTATGGGGCTGAGGCTGTAGCTCAGTAGTAGAGCACTTGCCTAGCACATGTGAGGCCACAGGTTCCATCCTCAACACCAAAAATAAAAAATTAAAGAAGCTTGGTGTCATGGCCATATACCTGTAATCTCAGCGCTCAGGAGGCTGAGGCAGGAGGATCACAAATTCGAAGCCAGCCTGGGTTACATAGTGAAACCTTGTCTTCAGAATACAGAGAGAGGGGCTGGGGATTTAGCTCAGCAGCACAGCACCTGCCTGGCAAGTGCGAGGTCGTGAGTTCGATTCCTGGTACCGGAAGAAAAACAAAATACAGAGAAAGAAGGGGTAGGGAGGGACTTGCACATATTGAGTGAAATTGATATTTGCATTGTGAAGAAAATGAGCAGGATCTAATAGACTGTTAGGTGCAGACGAAGAGATACAGAGGGAAAGAGAACATTTTAGGAGACAGAAACATTGTGAGCAAAAGCCTGAATGGAAGAGGGGAGAGTGATGGGAATGGACAGGAGCGTTGCTGAGGGCCGGAGTGTGACTGGACCGGACTGAAGACGTGGGAACTTCCTAAAGTGATGTAAGCAGGGGAGCTCTTTGGATCCGTTTCTAACTATAATGGAATTCACAGACGTCCTTGTCAGAGAATAGAATTCAGGAAACGTGGGAGTGAAGGCATAAGGTCCAGATAGCAGCTTAAGATGAAACTGTGTTGCATTTTGTTTTTTTGAGACAGGGTCTCTTATGTAGCCCAGGCTGGCCTCTAACTTGCAGCGATCCTCTTGCCTCAGCCTTGTGAGTGCTAGGATGACAGATGTGCACCCCCCCCAAGTGAAACACGATTTTAAAATGATGTTTTAAAACTTGATACTGTAGTAACCCACACTTAAACAATTGCTATGGAAAAGAAAATAAATTACTTACAAGGTTATTTTTCTGTTTTTTATTTGAGGTTGGATCTCCTTCTGTTGCCAAGGCTGATTTTGAACTTCTGTGTTCAAGTGATCCTTCTGCCTCAGCCTCCTGAGTAGCTGGGACTACGGGTATGTGTCAGCCCATCTTGCTATTGAAGAGTTTTTAAAAAGGTGCAGTTGTAAGAATCTTGTTATTCCTCCCTCTCTTCATGGACTAGATGATATAGCACACCATTTGAATAGTTGATTGAGGCAAAGAATTCAATCTGGCTATTTGAGGAACAGGGCTATTCTTAGGAAATTGTAACTTAAAGGAAAAAGGAAACATCTACCCAAATGTATAGATATCGTAAAATTTTCTTTATTTTTTGAAACTGGGTCTCACTATGTAGCCCAGGCTGGCCTCGAACTTGTGGTGATTCTCCTGCCTCCTGAGTGCTGGGATTTCAGGCGCGTGCCACCACGCCCAGCAGATTTACTATTACAAATCGATGGCTAGGGGGCTGGGGATTTAGCTCAGCGGCAAAGCGCCTGCCTGGCAAGCGCAAGGTCGTGAGTTCGGTTCCCGGTACTGGAGAAAAACCAAACACGTCTGAACTCGTTTCACCTACCAGAGAAAAACCAGCAGTCATAAAAACCAAAAAAAAAAAAAAAAAAAATCGATGGCTAGCAGCCTGGGGGCTCCATCCAGTGGCAGACCTCTTGCCTAGCATGTGTGAAACCCTAGGTTTGATCCCCAACACAAACAAAAAGAAACAGAAAACAAACTGCGAGGGTTTTAGAAGTAACGGAGCACATTATTTTGCCTGATCTTTGAATGTCACTGATAAAGGTTAAAAAAAAAAAAAGAGGATCGTAAGCTGGGAACGAAAACACAAGCTGTGGGAGTTGGTCGTGCTGAAAGGGAAGGGAAGATCAGGTCATCCATTCTGCTTAGATTTCTAGAGGAGAGAAGCTGCCGGCAGGGTTACATTAGGAGTTGTGGGTTACAGGCAGGTTGGACCGGGAGTTATTCTCCTGGGAAAAAGCTGGAGGAGGCGCCTTATCTCCAGTGCACAGCTGCTGCAACAAAGTGCTATGTATCAGGATGGTACAAACCAAGACAGAAAACAGGACAAAACAGGAATGTTTTAACTTTGTTTTGTTTTGGTGAAGCCAGGGATTAAACTCAGGGCCCCATGTATACTAGGCAAACGTCTTACCCTGAGCCCTGTTAATTTCATTTATTTATTTTGAGGCAGAGTAAATTATTAATATACTCAGATGGGGATTGAACTTGCAATCCTCCTGCTTCAGCCTCCCAAGTAGCTGGGATTACAGGTGTGTGCCATCATCCCCAGCCAAACTGAATCATTTCTTGATGCCAAAATATCCTCATAAACTGGCTGTTCAGGGAAGCAGTTCCACCACTGTGATAAGGCTGGTCCTGCTAGCTTGTCCCTCAACATGTTCCCACCAGCTTCTACCACCCTATGGGACTGTCCCGGGCCACCCAATGGTACAGTCGTACATCTACCACCACTGGTAGTACTGAGCCACGCGGCAGTGAGACGTGCATTGCGGCCTCTTTGTGAATGTTTTAAGGCTGTTGGACCTTTAAACCCTCTGACATTTTCTGTGTAATTCCTTATTCTCTTGCACAGTGCCTGGTACAATTGGCTACAGCTGAAATCTTAAAGGGGACGCAGAGTACAAGTTGTTCCAGCCTCCAGGAAGGAAAAGCCCAAGGTTATTACCCAAAAAACAAAAGATTGTTATTCTACTCATAATGGCCCACAGTCTAGATCAGTGTTGTAGGATCCACGTGTTATGTGCAGGCCACATGTGAAGAAAAAACTCTAAATACCCAGTCACTAAAATGACAGAAATGAAATCATTTATAATATGTTATTTTACCCTGTGTAGCAAGAACATGTAACCAAGAAAAAATGGAGATAAGTACATTCATTTTTTCATACAGTCTTCAAAATTCACTCATAATATTAAATTTTTTCTTTCTTTTTTTTTTTTTTGTTTTTTTTTTCCAGTACCAGGAATTGAACTCACGACCTCCTGCTTGCCGGGCAGGCGCTGTGCTGCTGAGCTAAATCCCCAGCCCCTCTTTTTTTTTTTTTTTCTGACCTGGGAATTGAACTTGGGACCTGGCACTTGCCAGGCAGGTGCTGTGCCAGTGAGCTGTACCCCCTAGTCCTAATACTAAATTTTTTGAGATGTACTTAATTTTTCTTTATATCATAACAGAAAAGGTTGCACTTGCCTGTAATCAGCTACTCAGGAGGCAAATGTAGGAAGATTGCAAGCTGAAGGCCATCGGGGCAACTTAGGGAGACCAGTTCACAATAAAGTATTATTTGGGGCAGGGGTTGGTACCGAGAATCAAACTCAGGGCCTTGTGCTCGATAGGCAGGTACTTGTGCCGTTAAGCTATATCCCCAGCCCCGTCTTCTCTTTTTTGTGGGGGGTGCTCAAAATAAAGTTTTTTAAAAGGACCAGGATGTCCAGTGTCCTTAGTGGTAGAGCACATTTTTAGCATGCACATGGCCCTGATTGAATTCTGGCACCACATACACACACACACAATTAACCTCATCACATATTCATATCCAAGTTTTTAAGTTACTTTTTTGTCACAGGGACAAAATACCCAACACCTACAGGTCTGAGAAGGTGAGGTTTTTTATGGCTTAGCTTTAGGCCATGGTTGGTAGGCTCCAATGCATGGTAGAAGGGCCTGAGCAGAGGAGAGCTGCTCACATCATGGTGGTCGGCAAGGAGAGAGGTAGAGGAGCCGGGGAAGGAGGTAGACCCGTCCAGGCCTCACCCACGGTGACCTCCTCTTATTCTCCTAACAGCACATTTTGCTTCACTGATGAGTGTAGCACGTGTGCCAGTCACCTTCAAAAGTCCCACCTCTGAACACCTGAGGCCTGGGAGGGACATTCTGTGTCTAAGCCTGATCACCAAGTTGTTACACACATTAACAGTTTCAATGAACTAAAATGCTAAATTTTTAAAAATTCATTAAAATAAAAATTTTCTTCTGTGATACTAGCTTCCTACAGAATGATCAAAAACCCCTGTGGGGGTGTCTGCCGTGTGGGACATAACGGGTAGGGACTGGCTTCTGATCGTCGTGGAGTGGAGCAGCCACCATGGGAGATCAGAATTTAGGGACCAACTCCCGGCACTGAGGTCCTGGTTCACCACTTCCTTGCTAGATGATACTGGGACAATGAATCGTGCTCCCTGCATCCCAACCCCGTGGTTGTCCAGCATTACATAGATCATGAGATCTGCTGGTGGGAAAAGTGAGCTGTACATATAAAACCGGTGCACATTCAGACCCACTGCTCTTCGGTAAATGCCGGTGGGTACTAGTAATCCTCGTGGTACAAAGTACACTGATTTTAGGGTGTGCAGAGAGCCAGCCAATGTATGATGACGGATGATGAAGTAAGGTGTGTGGATGAGTGACTGATACTGACAGAACTCCAGGATGAGGAGTGGAGATTTCCACTGTCCACCGAGATTCACAGGCTGCCCCATGGTGGTCTTGGTCTAGGAAAGGGACAGCTGGACACATTCACCTCAGGCCTCACAGGGTGGTAGCCATCAGCTGGGCCCAGGGCCAGTCCTCTTACATTCTTCAGAGCATCTCATTTCACCTCCCTCTCATAATATAAACTCCAGTGGCCCAGGCCCAAGCAGTCACCCTACCTTTCTTCGTTCATTTTGGAGTGGGCAGAGAGTGCTGCTGCTCAGCAGGTCCTGTGATAGGAGTGTTTTTGGGAATGGGTACTGCAGAAGCTCGGAGATTTGTTACCGTGGGGAACTACGGGGTCACTAAAGGGTCACATCTCTGGCCTGAAGTTTCCTCATCTGCTTGTTGAGACCATTACAGTTTTCCTGGTGGGCAGCTGGGCTCACCGTCACTTCCAGTTCTGTGCGTGACAGGACTGCTGTGGCATTGGGTAGCCATGAGTGTGTGTGTGTGTGTGTGTGTGTGTGTCTGAATCTGAGTCTGAGTGTGTTCTGAGCGTGTTGGGTTGTATGGCAAGTTCAGACCACGATGGGATGATTCTAGCCACGCCAAGTGTAGGAAATACGGACACTCTGGATGCTCATGTCCTCTCTCTTTTCTAAGTCTTCTTTCTAGGGACCCGGTCTGTTTTCATGAAGAAAAGACAGACACATCAAGGATGCTGACTGACCGTGCCAGAAATTGTTACCAGGTGTGCAGAAACTCCCCCACGACGACAGACTTACTCCACCAAGGAGATGAGTTTCCTTCCGGGGAGACTTCATTCCGCAGTTTCTTATTCCCTGCAGAGCTGCACTCGCGGATGGAGTCCTCAGAGGGTTTTCTCCAGAGAGCAGAGCCCCTTGTGTTAGCAAGGTGTTGCCTTGAAAATCACCATGGTTGTTCAGTAACTACTGATCCATCTCAACCCTCCTAGTCCCAAGTGCACGCACGTTTGCTCTGAGACTATAAGGAAGAAGGAAATACCATCTTGTAAAGACTTTATCCATTCACCACTGTGTGCGAAGCGTACCCAGTGTCATCAGGAATGTACAGCAGTACCTCAGTTCACGAACGCTTCTGTTTGCAAATAGTTTGTTTCACAAAAAAAGTGTTCAGCAGAATTTTGCTTCTCTTCTCAAACTCCAAGTTGGGTGATAAACACTACCACGGGCATCTCCCTCACAAACACAAACACAACCATCTTCCCCAACCAAAATCGTAAAGCAAATTAAGTATGTAAACCAAGGTACCACTGTGTTTAAAAGAAGAAAGGCAGGCCAGGCAAGGTGATGCATGCCTGTAGCCCCAGGACGCAGGAGGCTGAGGCAGGAGGGTCACCATGTGTTCTAGGCCAGCCTGGGCTACATAACAAGTTCAAAGCCAGCCTGATCTACATGACTCTGTCTCAAAAAAACAAAAAGAAAGGAAGAAGGAAAGGGAGGGAGGGAGATGAAAAGAGCCCGTAGTCTAGTTCTGGGGAGAGGAATTTGTCTTTCAGAAGGGCCATTGCAGCCCCTTGGTGGCACGAGGTGGACAGTGAGCGGATGTGGGGAGAGGAAAGGTCCCTAGGACCGCTGGACCCTGGGTGGGCAGTGGAGGCTCTCAGAGGACCATGCAGGCCTTGGCCTCGCCCTCTCATCTCCGGTGAACGTTGGCGGAGAGGTCATTGCTGTGACTCGGCACTCAGGCTGGCCTGTGTGTGATGATCCAGGACTTGGTGACCTTTGAGGATGTGGCTGTGGACTTCACCCAGGAGGAGTGGGTTTTGCTGGATCAAAGTCACAGAGACCTTTACAGGGAGGTGATGCTGGAGAACTATGAGAACCTGGTCTCCATGGGTAAGAACACCACCATGTCTCTGGCCTTGTGGGGAAGAGATGGAGGCTGCGCGCTTCCTGGGTCCCAGCTTGGGTGATGTGGACTCTGTGGTCCCAGCTTCCTGTGGTCCCAGCTTCCTGGGTCCCAGCTTCCTGGGTGATGTGGACTCTGAGTCCACTGGCAAATAACAGACACACAGTTCTGGCTCTCATGCCTTGTAATCTACTGTAGTGGTTTTCAAAATGTGACCCAAGGCCCAGGGAAATAGCTCAGCAGCACAGCATGTCCCTAGCAAGCACAAGGCTCTGAGTTCAATTCCTGGCACCAAAAAAGAAAAAAACGCCCTCCCCAAATGTGGTCTAAGAACAACAACATCACCTGGGTGCGTTGGTGCACACCTGTAATCCCAGCACTCTGGGAGGCTGAGGCAGGAGGATGCTGGGCAATTTAGTGACTTAGCAAGACCTTGTCTCAAAAATTTTTTAAGAGGGGCTGGGCCTGAGGATGTAGCTCAGTACAAAGATCCTGGGTTCAACCCTCATTATTGAAAAGAAAATCAAGAGCATCACCACTGCTGTCCTAGATATTTAAATCTTTAGTCTCCAACTTTGCCATACTGAGTCATGTTGGAGGCTGTCATGTGTGTTTTAACAAGCCATTTAGAAAAATCTGCTGTTTTATTATGTTTCAGAATCATTGGTGTATTTTTCCTTAGGTCTTGAGCTTGGCATGGTGGTGCACACCTTCCATCCCAGCACTTGGGAGGCTGACACGGGAGGATTACAGTTAGTTCAAGACCAACCTGAGCTACATAGTGAGATTGTGTCTCCAAGAAAGGAAGGAAGGGAGGGAGGGAGGGAGGGAGAAAAGGAGGAAGGAAGGGAAAGAAAAAAGAAAGAAAGAAAGAAAGAAAAAGAAAGATCCCTTTTGTTTCACTTACTTTACTTCCAAAGTGGTTGAAACTTTTAGTGCTTAGTAATTGTGTCCAAAATTATTAATTTGGGCTTCAGGGATCAGAGTGGCCTCTCTTTTGGGGCCTCAAAAGTGCTGCCTGCATTTTTAGCCCTCCTGGAATAATGTCCCCGCCTTACGTCCCTGGATGTTCAGGTGCAGGTTCATGGTCTCTTGCCTGAGCCTCTTCTGTCAGGGCCCCTTTCTTTGTGCGCAGGACTTCAGCTCCCCACACCCAGGCTGATCTCTTGGTTGAAGAAAGAAGAGGATTTAAGAGCAATGCAGACAGGAGCTGTCCAAGGTGAGTGTGAAGGAAACACGTTAAGATGCACTTGGTCTCAGGAGGTCAAGGCCATTTATCTGAGAAATTAGGATATCGTTACCTTTGCCTGGGGCAATGCTGCGAATGGAACCCAGGGTCATATGTACTAGGCAAGTACTCACCATTGAGCTACTTTTTGTCTACTCAAAATTTCCTATAATCTCAGAAAGTGTGTTATTCTGTGAAGCCCTGGATTCTATCCTTAGCACTACCAAAAATGTGTGCACCCATGCGTGAGTTCATCCCGTTCATCATTAACTTTAATTTTCAAGGAATCGACTTGTAAGAAACTATCTAAAATTATGATCCACATCCATAGCATTGCCTAATTTTTGACCTAATCAGAACATTCAAACTTTAATTTTTTTAAATTAAAATTTTTTGTTTGTTTGTTTGTTTTTTCTGGTACCAGGAATCAAACTCACGACCTTGCACTTGCCAGGCAGGCACTGTGCCACTAACCTAAATCCCCAGCCCCTAAAATTTAAAATTTTTTTAACCAGATTTAATTTGAAAACAAACATGCATCAGTGGTATCATTATTAAACTCTTTCACTGAGCCATTTCTTTCTCCAAACCTTAGTGTTGTTTTTCTGTTCATCTTCAGAATGTGCAGTGAGACTTAGCACTGGTGAGTGTTTACATCAACCGGAATTTCTGAGGGAACAGAGCTCCAGCGGGCTATACATGGTAAGACTGACAAGGGTGATCTTATTTCCTATCCTCGGAGAGGGTTCAGAATTCTGTTTTAGAAAACCAGCCCAAATGAGGAAGAGATGAGAAAACCAGCTTCCACCTAGGAGAAAGCAATGTCTGGAGGGATATTGTGGACAGCATGCATGTGGAGAAGCCCCACATTGCTTTTTAGAGTTTCCAAAAGTAGACAGTCTTCTTAATAATCTAAGATTAGAGCACGTTCTAAAGTCCTGGAAGTATCACTGCATCCTTCAGTTGGAAAGGAAAGAACAGATGTATAACTGTGTACTGGACACAGTGGCTCTCTTGATCTCAGAAGCTAAGCAGGATCAGGCCTGGTTAGCATTTGGGTGGGAGAAAGGAAACAAGGTAGAACCATATGGGTGTAACATGATGGTAAAAATCACTGTCATCCTCAAAATACTGTACTTTGGGTTAAGAGTATAGCTCAATGATAGAGCACTTGCCTAGCATGCATGAGGTCCTAGGGTCCAGCCCCAGCCCCAGCCCCACAAAAATAAATAAACAAAAATAATGTTCTTTAATCATCATTCATCTGTTTATTAACAGGGAAAAAGGAAAAGTGTTGGTGAACTCCAACAGTTATATTTTAAGACACACACAAGAACTCAGAAGACAGGGAACAGTTGCAAGTGTGATCAGTATGGAAAAGACTTCCTTACCCTACACATGAAAATCTCTGTTGGAGAGCAACTTTTGGAGTTGAATGAGCATGAAAAAGCCTTCAGCCCAACTCCAAATGCTATGTATGAAAGAACATGCGTGCCAGAAAAACCTTTTGATCGCAGTGACCATGGGAAAGCCGACGTGAATCAGTCCTGCACTCAGGCCCTTATAGGGACTCCCAGTAGAGGAAAGCTCTATGAATGGAGGGGACAGTTTTTTTCTCTCCACAAACCTTGGTGTGCATCGGGAAAGTCTCAAAGTAAAAAATCCTTACAGATGTAAGGAGTGTGGGAAAAGTTTTAGGTATCCTGCTTATCTTAGTAAGCACACACGGACCCACACCGGAGAGAAGCCCTATAAATGTACAGAATGTGGGAAAGTGTTCGCTCAGCACTGGGGTCTTTCTCAGCACATACAAATTCACAGTGGAGAGAAACCCTTTGAGTGTAAGGAATGTGGGAAAGCCTTCGCCCTGTCTTCACACTTAACTAAACACACAAGAATTCACATCGAAGGGAAGCCCTACAAATGTAAGGAATGTAGGAAATCCTTTGGAAATTCCTCCTACCTTAAGAAGCACATGCGAATTCACACTGGGATCAAGCCCTATAAATGTCACAAATGTGGAAAAGCCTTCACACAGTCCTCAGGCCTTACCAAACATATGCGGTCCCACAGTGGGGAGAAGCCGTATGCCTGTCAGGACTGTGAGAAAGCCTTTTCTACATCCACCTGCCTTGTTGCCTGCAGAAGGATTCACACTGGAGAGAAGCCTTTTGTCTGTAAAGAATGTGGGAGAGCCTTCGCTAGGTACTTTTGTCTTATTGGGCATATCAGAACTCATGCCAGAGAGAAGCTCTATACATGTAAAGAATGTGGCAAAGCCTACGCTACGTCTTCTGACTTCAACAGACACTCAAGAATTCATACTGCAGTGAATCCCTATAAATGTAAGGATTGTGGCAAAAGCTTTACTCATTACTCAAGCCTCTCGGCGCATCACAGGACACACACTGGGGAGAAGCCTTACGAATGTGAGACATGTGGGAAGGCATTCACATATTCTTCAAGTCGCAGTAATCACATACGAACTTACAAAGCCTCAGAGCCGTTTAAGAAGTCTGGGACCGCCTGTTGCCTGTATCCCTTAATAGTCACGTGTTATTCGATTCCGGTGAAAAACATGGAAGTACACAATGTGACAAAGTCTTTCTTTACTCCCATTCCTTCAAAGTACATGAAAGCAGTGGAGACAAGTAATGAGTGGGATAAAGCTGACTCCTGGTTTTCAGAAGCTCATTTGCAAAATGTTTTGTAGGTGACGTTTGTACTTGCAATTCTGTTTCCTCCGGAAAACAAACATTCGTACTGGCCTCTTGTTAGTGATGCTGTTTGGTACTTGCTTAAGGTATTGATTGTCAAAGCGTTCGACTTCAAATATATATTATACCTTATGGGTAAGACAGTGATTTGTAGGCAGGGATGCACCTCAGTGGTAAGCCCATAGCTAGCATCTGTGAGGTCCTGGGTTCCATCCCCAGCACCACAGAAAACAAAACAAAAAGTGATTTTGTAAGTTGATATTTTGATATTCAGCACATCTTGTCTCCCAACAAGCTTCCGTATTCTTTCAGCATTTATGAGTAACCCTCCAGTGAATGAAATTCTATCTTTTGAACATTTGTAGTTTATTTTCAAGGTGAGTTTTTAAGGTGAGATGTCTAGGTAAAAGTAAAAATGCATTTTTAATTTTGCTGTACATGAAATTTTTTCCCTTGCATAAGTGTTGTACCATTTGGTAGTTTCTGAATCAACTTTAAAAAAAAAAAAAAAACTTGTTCATAGACTATTCTGGAGAACAATAAAGAGCTGATTTTAGTTTTAATGGGTTTTGTTTGGTTTTTGAGACAGGATCTCACTATATAGTTCAGGCTGGCCTCAAACTTACAGGAATCCTCCTGCCTCAGTCTCCCAAGTACTGGGGTTACAGGCATGTCACCACACCTAACTCATTCCTGATTATTTATTTATTTATTTTATTTCTTTTCTTTCTTTCTTTCTTTCTTTTTTTTTTTCAATACTGGGGGTGAAACCCAGGAGCACTCTTATCTCTGAGCTATATCCCCAGCCCTTTTATTTTTTCCTTTGAGACAGGTCTCACTAAGTTGCCCAGCTGGTCCTTGAACTTTGGATCCTCCTGCCTCAGCCTTCCAAGTGCTGAGATTACTGTGTGCCTTGGCATCTGGCTGCACAGATATCTTAAGGAAGAGGAATAAAGCTCACAGATGGCAAGCCTGATTTTTCTCATGATGATGTCCTGTTCTGTCTTGGCATTCTGTGGAGAGAATCCCTACCAGCAAGCAGTCTCCACTTGACCAGATGCTGCCTCTTGACCGTGGACATTCCAGCCTCCAGAATCATGGACTGAGCAAACCTTCACTCTGTGAATTACCTAGTCTGTGGTCATCAGTTATAGCAACAGAAAACAAAGTAAGACAAATGAGTTTCCACTTCAGTGATTAATTCTGTTATTTCCCTTGCCCTCAGCTACATTTTGAGCAGCTATGGGTTCTGTACCTAGTGGCATACCCCAAAGCTTCATTCCCAGAGGGGTTTCCACAGGCTAACCTGTTTTCTGTACAGCAGGTAAATACTTGTAGGGCCTGGACTCCATGTTTCTTGGGTCAATTGTATGTCATTCTTGGATCAACTGGAGCTCCCTGCAAAGTCTCATGGGAGTTAGAGTCAGGAAACCAAAGAGCCTGGGTTGGAAGGCTGAAGAATCTGCCCTGGAAGCATGGACATGGACAATGCCATGAAAAGCAATGAAGACCAGAGCTCCTCTGAAGAAGCAAAAACAAGACCTCCTTCTTCCTTCCCTTTTTATTCCATCCAGGCTACAAGCCTATGGGTTGGTTGGTGCCACCCACACCCAGCATGGGCCTTCCATCTCAATAAATCACACCCAGAAGTGTGCTAAATCAATCTGCTAGGTGTTTCTCATTCAAGTTGACACCACAGTTAACCATCACACTATGTATTTTAATCACTTTCCCATCACTAGGACACAATACCTGACATAGCTGAAAGGAGGAAAGGCTTATTTTAGCTCACATATTTTTAGAGGTTTCAGTCCATCGTGGACTGTTTAAGACCAAAGTGGCATGGTGGGAGGGTCTGGGCGGAGGAAAGTCGCTCTTGGCCTTGGAGAGGCAGAACATCTTGGCACAATGGCACGGTGGAGTAGACGGCAGCTAGGAAGCAGAGAGAGGAGGGGTGAGGCCGGGGAGAAGGGGCTGGGAACAAGATATACCCCCCAGTGCCACTCCCCAGTCACCTGCTTCATCCACTGAGGCCCCACTTCCTAGTGCACCCACTGAGCCACAAACCTGTAGGCATTTTAATCCACTGGATGTTAGAGTCCTCGTGATCCAGTCACTTCCCCCACAGCCTGTCCCATGGCAATCATGCCTTCAGCACAGTGAGCTTCGTGGGGGGAGCATTTTCGGTAACAACCTTAACAGTAGTCTTACTTCTAGTGGTTCGCCTTTGCTTTGCATTCACCTAGGACAGAAATACCTTCACAATCCCCAGCTTTTTTTTTTTTAATATTTTGAGACAAGGTCTCACTGAGGTGCCCAGGCTAGGCTCAAACTTGGGATCCTCCTGGCTCAGCCTCCCAGAGTGCTGGGATGACAGGTGTGTATACCACTACACCTGCCTGAGGTCCGTCCTTATGCCTATCCCAGACTTCCTCATCTCCATTCATATTCCGTCCACATCTTTGACCTTCCTGCCAAACCGCTGGCAACTCCTGATGAACCAATGAGTATGTGTCCATCTCCCCACACACAGTGGGCAGCAAAACCCACTGCTTGCTGTTTGCCACTGGGAAGGTTTTCCTTTTATTACTGTCTCCATGGTCATCCATAGTGCAGTACACTGCTTTAGTTTGCCACTGTCTGGTTCTACTAGCATAGCATACAGTCAACAGCTATAAACCTGATCCCTCCCTTTTTTAAAGGCAGTGTCTTGCTATGTAGTTCAGTGTGGCCTTGAATTGACTATGTAGCCCAGGCTGGCTTTGAACTCACTGTGATCCTCTTGCCTCAGCCTCCCGAGTGCTCAGACTTCAGGGGTGTGCCACCATACCCAGCTGTAAACCAAGCTTTTTGTGTCAGCTGGCCATAAGGAAGGTGGTGCACACCTGCAATCCTAGCACTCGGGAGGCTGAGGCAGGAGGGCTGCCGCAAGTTCGCGGCCAGCCTGGCCTACATAGTGAGATCAAGGGCAGCCTGCAATACAGTGAGACTCTGTCTCAAAAAAGCAGAAATAACTAAGTAAAATAAAGGTCTGTGCTGTGAGACTCATCAGAGCTTACAAGAGGCTTCTAATGTTGTCCTATTTGTGTTTGTGGGTGTTACTCAGGATCTAACCCAGGAGCGCCTCTGCTACTGAGCTACATCATCAGCCGTTTTTCTTTTCATTTTTTAATTTTGACAGTGTCTCATTAAGTTCCCTAGGTTGGCCTAGAACTTGTGGTCCTCCTGCCTCAGCCTTCCAGGTAGTTAGGATGACAGGCTCTGCCTGACTGCCATGGACACTGAGCTTTTTTATTGTGTGGTGGATCATTCACACTGAGGAGTTTATGCTGTGGCTTGAGTGTGGTACGCAGCTCTCTTGCTGTGGTCCCAATCAAAACCGGAGGTCTAGGGGACTCTAAGTGGGTCAAAGGCACAGACCAGGGAGGTGCCTGCTGTCTTCAAAATCTGCAAGGTCTACAGGGTGCTGTGCCTCCTTTTGGGAGCGTGTGGTGTGAGTGCAGTAACTAAGAGTGGCTCAGAATGTTTATTTAGCTGACCCTCTACCTCCAGCCTCTCCTTTGTAAGTGATATACAAAGGTATTGAGAGCATTAGACCTCTGAAGACTATGTTTTCACAGACAGTGGGAGAATTAACATGTATTTGTGATAGTCTGTGATCATTTCCCATGTTCCATGTTCTTTCTGCACAAGCCCACGTGATGTTACATTGGTCTGAATATTGGGTGAGATGTGGTGGTTCTCCACTTCAGTGATTCATATCAAGTTTGTCTACCAGACTTGAGGCATTTGTTACCTAGAACAAGCAATATTCTCGGGGTGTGGTGGCAGATGTCTGTAATCACAGCTACTTGGGAGGCTGAAGCAGGAGAATTGCAAATTGGAAGGCAGTCTAGACAATTTAGACTCTACCTCAAAATTTACAAAAATTAAAAGCACTGGGTTTGTAACTCTGTGAGGCCCTATGCTCAATCTGCAGTACCAAAAAAGCCAAAACAAAACATATTTTAGTGTTTGGACTGGTGAACTATGACCCATGAGACACATCCGCCACTAAAACTGCTTGTAAATAAAGTTTTAATGGAATACAATCCTGTGCATTTCTGTAAGGATTTTCTATTTGCCTTCTTATTGATTTCATTCCCAGGGACACTGTGGTCATTTTGCCACCATCAGTGAGATCTGCAGTCCAACAGACGGCTCTGCTGTCTGGCCTATTCCATCTGCCTGACGGCTCAATGCGGCCTTATTGTCTTGATGCGTAAGGGCTGCTCATTTGATTTCTACTACTACGGCTTCTCAATGTTGCCACTAAAATTGAGGGGCTTATCTCAGGAATGGTCTCCTCTGCAGACACAGCTGGCATATGCAGGAATGTAAGCACAGAGCTCTCCAAGGATGTAGGGACGCCTCCTCTAATCTATCCCCAAGTGCCTTCATGAAGAGAATACTCCCTTCTGAGTCCTCAACATGGGTTGGGCAAAGGGGGATGTGCAGACCACACATAAGAAATGCAGTGCAACATTCCTATGTCTCTAGGGTTCCTTCCTTTATACTATGCTGGGGAGACTCTGTCATATCATCTCATTCACTGTAGGTCACCACTGGGCCTAATTTCTAGTCATCCAGACAACTTAGCTGTCAGTCATTCCCAAGTCCATGGGGCAGGAAATGAAATCCAGAATGTCTAGTTGGGACCCATGTCAATGAACTTGGCCCTAGCTAGCGACATCCCACCACCCTTGGTCTCACACTCCTAGAATCCTTCCCCCTGCATGGTCCTTGGTTGTCCTTCAATGCACGTGACCACAGTGGGAATGTCGTGTGAGCCTTTTCCTTGCCCGATGCTGTACACCTGTGTCCCTGGATTCTGCATGCGTTTTGCCTCCAGTGGCAACAGCCAGTGATCATGGTTAGTCTCGTACAGTATTTCCTTCCAATACAACTCCCCTAGGAGAGATCAACACAGGGGTTTCAAGCAGAGGAATGCAGGGACCAAAGAGCAAACTATATACCTGGTTGGGGAGGCTCAGAGTGTTTTAGGGTTTTAAGACTGTGAGTTTCACTGGGGTTGAACAAGTTCTCATTCCAAGTTTCATGCTCTCATTTTCCTGATTTTATTGTAATTTTTTTTAGTTTTCAAATTTTCTGTACGTTAGAACATAAAATCTAGAGGAACCCCACTCATGTGGTCAGGCGCATCAGTATGATCAAGCTAATCCCTGCCCACATTCCCCTCCTTGCCCTCCCCTGTGACATTTGACTGAATCATCAGTGAAATCTCATGGCTTTTGCTTTTGTTCTCCACACAGATGCCCAATAAGGGGTCTGGCCCACTGTTTTGCTCTCTCAGTTCCCTACCTTGTTGGTAGGGTCTGCTCATAATATCCTTTTGTAGAACAGCATGACCTCCTACATGTCACAGTGTGCCTCCCTCTCTAGGCCTTATGCATATAATAAATCCTTTTGCCTGGCACAGTGGCACACAACCATCATCCTAGCACTTGGGAGGCTGAGGCAGGAAGGTTGCTAGTTCAAAATCAGCCTGGTTAACATGCAAAACCCTGTCTCAGAATAAAATAATAAAATAAAATGAGTGAGGGGCCTAGCACAGTGGTAGAGCACTTGTCTGGCATGTGTGGGGCCCTGGATTCAATCCCCAGTACCACCCAAAAACAAATCCAAAAAGGGAAGACTTTCAACCTCCTAGAGATAACAATCCATTTTAGGAGATTTTGCTTAAAAGAATAAGTAAAGGGGTGATGATTAGCCTGTTCACAGGCAAGGACAAGGAAGACACTGCCCAGAAGCACCTGGCCCTTATTCCCTCCTCTCCTTTCTCTTAGCAACTAAAGACCCAGACCTTAGCCCTTGAAAGCCTACAATAAATAAACAAGAAAATAAAACAGGGTGAAGAGCAGAGAATACTGGCTCTTTCAGTGGACAGGAGCTCAAGAGAGAGAAACTTTAAATTTTATGTACTGACCTAATGACAGGTTAAAACACACATAATGGTAGGATTACCTACTAATTTAAAAACAAACCCTTGGTTTCAGGGAGTTAAAACTCAAGGTAATTAAATTACATATGAGTAGTGTTTAAATAGAAATATATACATTTGTATTAATTTGAACATTGGGCTCCCTATAGTCTTTTTTAAAGTGCCTAATATATGCAGGGCATAGTAGCAGTGGCTGTAATCCCAGCTACTCCAGGAGGATTGTAAATTTGACACGGGCCTGGGTAGTTTTTCAAGACCTTATAGCTTATATATCAGATTCATAAGACGTTATAGCTTATATTCTTGATGTCCTCCCAAAGCCTCATGTTTTCAGAGCTGGCTGGATCTAGGGAGTGTGATACTGGGATTAAGGATGAGTGGTACTAAATTAGTCCTCTGATTGGAATTAGCATAGTTCTGGGTGTGGCTGAATGGATTTACTGAAGACAGGAGCCCCACCCTGGGTGTGAGTGAAAACACCCAAAAGGCTTGTAACCTGGATGGGACAAAAGGGAAGGCCAGGCTCACTGCTGCTGCTGCTGCTTTGCTGCCTCCTGCCTGCTTTGCCATGGACTGTTTCTCCTCTGCCATGCCGTCCTCCCTTGGAGCTAGCTGACTATGCACAGAAATCTCCAAAAATTCTGAGCCAAAATAAACATTTCCTCCCTTATCTTGTGGGTGTCAGGTGTTTTGTCTCAGCAATGAGAAAAGTAACTAAAGACACCATGTCTCAAAATAAAATAAAAATGGTTGAGGAGTAGCCAAGCACTTCCTGGGTTTGATTCCCAGTACCGCAAAAAGACAAAAGTTATAAAATAGAGGGAAATGGATAAACCTACTTCATAGACTTGGCTAACATTACCAGTCACAACAACCACTGCCCTAAAATACTCCACAGTAGGCATGATGTTCCTGTGCTATGTACAAAGTA